AGGAAACTGCTGGAGGGAGAGGAGGACAGGCTGGCAAATGGCATCAAGGCTATCAACATCTCCCAACAGAGCAGTAAGTCATTTTCTTCAACCTCGCTTTAATTGTCTTGTCTGATTGGTTCTTCAGTTTTAACAGATTCCACACTCTTCCAGTTTTAACTGTTGTCTCTGACCTCCCTTCTCTCAACAGCAAGCTACGGAGGCTTTCCCATGGACAGCATGAAGAGCAGCTACTCAAGTGGCTACTCCAGCGGTTTCAGCAGCGGATATGGTGGCGGCAGTGCATATGGCAGCGGCAGCGGATATGGCGGCGGATTCGGCAGCAGCTCGGGCGGCTTCAGCAGCGGCAGCGGCTACAGCACCACCACCCAGAGCAAGAAAAACGTCGTTATCAAGATGATTGAGACCAAGGATGGCAGAGTGGTGTCTGAGTCCTCCGAGGTCATTGAGGATTGAGCTGTCTAGTTAAGAGGTGTAGCTACCTGTCTGCTATCTCCTCTCTGGTAGTTTTATACTCACAGTTCACCCCCAGCACCCCTCAACTATTGTAATAAACAAGTCTGAAGTAAAATGCTTGCCAGCCACTCTCCAGTTGAGCCTAATTGTTTTTCATGAAGCAATAAATGATCCTAACACTACCAAAGATCTGAAAGGGACCAAAGAATTTATTTTGTATGTCTGATGTCTGACTGTCTGTACTAAAAGAGTAGTTTTGTCTCAGAAAGAGAGCTAAAAACTGGGCGAATTCATACACTCCCTTGAAATAAACAACAGATATTCTATACACGGAAGGCTGTTTCCTTCAAAACGGTGTTGCATCAAATGGACTGTGGTGTGAAGGAATGTGAATGTAATGAAACAGTGCTTCAGCACTGATGGTCAACTAATGTCATAAAATTGCCTGCTACAGTAGGTAGTGCATGTCTTCCCTGTGCGTGTCCTGTAACTGAAACTGTTCGACCCCTTAGGAGGCTGCCCACGTCAAACTGTTGTCCTGAGGTGCTGTTTTTGCTACCAATAAAAATGTGTTTACTGAAAAGAAAATTATGTGTTTGTTTAAATTTTTTGATGATGACTCAAAAGAAAGAGAGTAAATTAACTTGAAGTCCAATAAAGCTGACAGTGCTTAAGTAGTTTTGAATCTGTAAATAGGGATAGTTCTTGATCAGTCCTTCAAGTCACAAGGATAATAATACTATTACTATATTTAAATATATATACAGAAGGTAAATATATAATATATATTAACAGTAAAGTCAAATATCACCTGTTTTGTTATATTTTCACATCAAAGTCCCACCATGTTGGTTGAAGGAGTGGAGATGTTCGATGACTGACCTAGGCTCTGTCATATCTTGTTTCTTTTGTGACATTCAACATAATAACATTTCACTGGCCATGTTTGGATAGTGGCTTTTAAATCTCAAAATACTGAAAAAAGTATTAAAGGTACAGGACACCTAAAATAGTGAGTAAATTAGTTTTTTGGGTTCTGACATTAGCTTCAAACTCACACAGAGAAATAAGTCCAAATATAGAACACTGCTTTAGGCCCTGGGTGTTGCCTTTGATGTTTTACTGACAGGTCATTCAGCCCGATTAACAAGATTAAGTGCAGACGTGTTGACCTCTGTATGGTTTAACAATGTATCAATAATTAAAATAATAATAACTTTATGTAGTACCTTTTAAAACTGAGTTTACAAAGTGCTTTGACAGACAAAGCAAGAACAGGAGGCTCAGAAGGCAATATAAAAACAGAGTAACAACCTTTTTCACCTGACATTTCCACTTTTCATAGCAAGAACAGCAGTGCAACTATTAACATTAGTTATCTGTAAGCTCTGTTCCATTTAGGTGTCCCTGTAGGCCATATAGCCATAATCAGTGTTATTAATTACACCTGTGCTATGACATCTTGAAATTTCTGCGTGGAAAAGGTAATTTACAGAAGAAGCTGGGTATTTGATTATCCTACATAGTTTTATATAGAATTATTCAATTTGACTAAATCAACAAATAATGTTCAGTATTTGGAGACAATGTGAAGCCAGAACTGGACAACAAACGAGGCTGGTTAAGAAGAGGACACGGCCATGTTGGAATTAAGAGTTAAGGAAGTAGCAGGAGGTGAGTTTGGCCAAACGTATTGTAGCAATGTAGATATACAGACATGTTAGATAATATTAAAAAATGTAACTACTTCTTTTCGGCCACTTGGAAGCAGCTGAATATCACCTTGTAATGTAACTTAAAGCGATGTGTCGGTCGCGAACAAGCCGGTTCAAAGAGCCGGCTCTTTTAAGTGAACGATATTTTTTATTGAATTTTTTTTGTGAAGTGATTCAAGACAGAATGATATGATGGTGTCCACGCTACAGGCCAGAATACAGGATACAGGCAGATACAAATAATAATAAAATATACAACACTTAGATAGTTGATGGCGGTTAGTTCATAGAGACACATAAAACTGTTGGATGCTGCTGTTTTGCACAGTGCACTATATTTATTTTTTATTATGTTATTTATTTATTATTATGTTTACTCTATAAATATAACTTTGGTTTTATTTGTCCAGATGTCAGTTGTTGGCATTAACAAAGCACATTTACTTGAGTCCTGTCTTTAATTGACTTTTTTTTCAGTACTTTACTTGTTTTGTTCAGGGTGTGCGTGTCCTCTTTTTACTTTTTATTTCTATGCTTAAGTTTTCACAGGTGTTTCTATCTGCTTTGTGTAGCAGAGTGGTTCTACAGCAAGTTCATTGGGTGGTTTCAGAGAGTTACAAGGGTCTGTAAATGGAATGAAAACAATTGGATACAGCAATTTATTGGTATTAGACAATGTCATTTTTACTTTTGAATACTTCAGTACATAGACTGTATTGAATACATCACTAGTAACTTAAGAGGCATGTGTTAGCAAACTAGCCTAAGTAGCTAGCTACATCTTAGGTTAGCAGACATGGAGCAACATTATTCATTTGGCTTTAAATGTAAAGTCCATTATTCCCTCTCCTTCTAGCTGTTTTGCTCTCTCGTAGCACTCCAGAAAAATATCTGTCTCTTTAGCTGCTAAATGCTTATTATGTTCAGCTAGCTAGTTGCTTTGGTCTGTTTGCCATTTGCTACAGTCAGGTTTAATCTCAAAGTAGCTAAAGAATGTGTGCAGCTGAGATTCCAGACAAAAATTGACAGTATATAACATATATATAATATATAATATATAATATATATAAAACAAGGCAGGCAAGAGGCTTAAACAGCTTTGCTTGTTTTAACTACTTTTATGTTTAGTTAACTGTTATATACCGTAGTATTATATTGCTTATATTGCCATAGCAACGTCAGGCTCATGGTATGGGGCTTTGAGTAGGGCTACACTATATGGTAAAAACATCGTATTTTGACACACACTGCGATTGCAATATGATTCACAATTATTAGTGTGGGAATGATACTTTTTGCATTACAAATTTAATGTTTACTGAAAAAACTATTGAAATCATGATGATGTGAAATCTGTGGGGGTCTCTACCAAACAAGTACGTTTTCTTACATCAGAACAAGAGTTGTAGGCCAGGCAATCTCCAGGACCTGCAGCACTTTATTATAATACTGTGTGTCACTCATTTTACCTTGATCAAAAATAAATTGCAGCTTATAAGATTTGCCTGTTGCACTTTGCCATATTGCGATTTTGACAATATTTCAATTAATTAAGGTCTTCTGCATTAATTCTATGGTCTTTTTAAAAATGTATTTGCATCAATGTTAATTGGGATGTCCTTAACATCCTGACATCTGGATTTCTATTTCTATGGTGATTTTTAACTGTCATTTGATGTATTTTCTGAATGACGTTTCCTGTCCCTTAATTATTTTTATTTCCGCTCCATCATTCTAACTAAATTGATGAACAAGATTCATCCCAAAACATCTTATAGCATACAATTACTTTTATTTTAGGACAAATGGCCAAGTAATGATTTGTCTTTGGTATTTATTAGGGTACTATTCTAATTTATTGTTCAAGCTATCAGTCATTTCCTTGATTAATCAATTAGTTGTTTGGTCCATAAAATGTCAGAAATTTGTGACAAATGATGATCAGCCCAATGGGACGTCCTCAAATATATTCAGTTCAATGTCATAGAGCACTAAAGAAAGCAGAAGATAACCACATTTGAGAAGCTGAAGAAGACTGAAAGCATTTTATCGTTTTTCAAAATAGTTGGCAATAAATTAGCTGATATCTAATCAATTCATCAATTAATTGCTGCAGCTTTTTGTAAACAACTTTATCACCCTCCAACGGCTGTGCTGGGCAGCTCCAGTGTATCTATACGAACAGCATTTAGGTTTAAGAAACACTTGGTGAACTCAAACTCAGGCAGGAGGGCATGGAGTAAAATTCTTTACATCTCTTTTTAGCAATTGACCACCAGGGGTCAACATTGCACCCCTAGAACTGAGTATGTAACTCTGCAAGTCAGGATGAGCCCTCTCACAGGAGGACTGAGGTTAAATGCCTGGCACACCCACTGTGTGTGTATAGTGTGGGTGTGTCTGTGTCTGGGATTCATAACTGGAGAAGGGCCTGTTACTCCAAAATGCAAAGCAACACAATAGTTGTCTATCCTGAAAAGTAAAGTTACTCTGAATAGGGGGCTTTATAGAAAACATGACAAACATATGTATCTCAAACAAAGTGAGCCAAACAACTGTAAAAATAGGATCTATTTTTCAATGTATTTTTAGCATGCAGCCAAGAAGAGTTGAAATGACATGCCTTTACATTATATTAAATAGAAATATGTTGGCAGATTTTTCGATTTAGTAAGACCAGCATTAAATTCCCAACCCTCAATCTGCTATCAATCAGACACATGCTAGAGCAGTGAGACATTATAAGTACAATACATTTGTGTGTGTGCATGCCAGCGTATGTTTGCTTACTTGGCATACTCGGTCACAACAGAGGGAGTCCTGCTGTCTCTCAGTGTCCCACTGAAGCTTCCTAGAAGTCCTTATCCACAGTTGAAACAGTGTACGAATGAAAAGTAGACCTATCACTACAAATGTAATTGTGCAATATCACATAAAAAAAGATCACCCTTTAATGAAGAATACTCAGGAGGGTGGAGCAGTAAGACCCAGCATTTCAGCATGTAGCAACCTGAGCTGGCATCCATTTTACTCTTTCACTCAAGGAGGCAGTATTGTGTTAGTCTCACCCTGAACATGATCCTTTTTTCATCTTGTACTAGCAACCCCTTCATAGTTTAGAGCATTGTTTGATTCACTATTAACAGCACATTTTGTGTAACAGATCGTATGTCTAATTACTGTATTACTTACTCACTGCTGTTTTAAGATGTGCATGAGAAATGGTGTAATCACAGAAAGACAGTTCAGTGTACGTGCTACAGCTCATGAAGTGTGCATCAGGTGCAGCAGTTCCACCCAAAGTGTCATCCCTGGACGCCATTAGAGTCTGATTCATAATCACTTATGGGCACACAGAGTGGGCGAAGTATAAAAAGGGTGTTTTAAAGTGTCTGCCGTCATGCACAACTCTTATAATAAGCACTAGAGAACTGTGTTAACGAAGAGGACACCCAGGTACTAAAGCCTGTTCACAACACTAAAACACAATAACACAACAATCAGACAAATTAATCATGTAAAGGTGAGATTTTGGCGGTGTGCATGTTGGCTCCTCTGCTAGCCTCAGTAAGCTGTGATTTCCCAAAAAGCCCCTCCCTGTGTCTTCACACAAACATGGCTATGTAACTTTGCAGAGGTTGTTTGAGCCCGCACTGTGGTTCATGCCTCCTGAATGCCTTGAACCAAACTTTATTACAAGCAGACCTACACTATGAACATACTATAGTACTATGATTTATTATTTATCATCTTTAGATAATCTCATTTTCAAAGGGGCAGCACAAAATAGCCACCTCCTGTTA